GCATTCCAGGGGCTGCTCTGCGAAGAGAGATGGCAACGTTCCTCGCCAGCATTGCCCAGCACCACCACAATCACGCGGAGCAGCAGATGCTTTTTCAGGGGGCCCACAAGTTGCACGGTCCTCCAGCTTTGTATTGGGGCGGTGGCAGGGACATTCTCACCTACTCTATTATGCGCAACCGCAGGGTCCTCGTCCACTGCAAACAATGGGATGGCGCCTGTGCCTTACAAGACACAACTCACTATCAAGTGCCTGCCGACGCGCCCGTCACGCACCTGCTCTACCACGGCGGAGGTCACTACGAAGCGCTAGTTGAGGTTGAAGCTTGTCACGACCTAACGCGCCTCACTCCAGCATGGGACCAGCCGCTGTACTTCAGACAGCGAGGGGCATTGAGATACCAATTCCTTTATGCGCTGGACTGGACGAGCTGGCAAGAGTGGGCATCCCAACCAGAAAGGACCAGCGACATACCCTTCTATGCAATGTATGCCCTCAGGTTGTACGTTTCGCTCATCATGTCCGGCGAATGCCCCACATCCTTTCTCAGCCAGTTGCAAGACCTCTTGCAAGAAGCGCTGCCTACAGACCCTGGTTTGCCCGAATGGGTTATGCACATGGTTTACGTGCACGAGCATGCCTAGTCAGAGAGTGGGCCTGGCTACGGATGTCGCCCAATACGCAAGAAAGGGCGACAACGCATTGCACATCCAATCGATAGAAGCTGAAAGAAAAGAAGCGGAAGGCAAGCGAAGAAGCAGAAACACGCCGACACTTTGCACGACTGAAAAGGTCATCATGACTCCACCGGCTTGACTTCATACCATAGGGCACTCGTGCATAATCTATACACCTCGCCCTGCAGCCATTTCAGCTTGCAACCCTCTCGACCAAATTGTCCTCTGCCGCATTGCGCCCTTCTGGCATGGAGAAGGCATGCGCTGACGAAGGCTGGATCAAGATGACGCCGCTGCTGGAACTTCTGCTCTTACTTCTACAGCTCACCGAGGAGCTCCGGCAATTTGGCATCGATCTTCTTGAGCAAGAGCAAGAAACCGTCCAAACACCAGAACAAGCCCACCAAGTTCATGACAGCTTTGATTTGCTAGCCCAGGGCACGCTGGCATTATTCCACGAACTGTGGACCTTGCTTGCAGATGCAGAGTCTAAGTTGCTTCCAAGACGCGGCGTCGTCAAAGAATGGCTGGACGGAAAAACAAGCGAGACAACCCCACAACATCAAAAGAGGCTTCGGGCAATTGATCGAGTGGAGGAGCGGATGCAGGGTCGCCACCTGCGTGCAAGAGGTCAGCGCTGTGAGATCGAAGCCCCTATACCAAGACACGGCGAGCCCAAGCGAAGCTGGGAAAGCCGAGTCTTCTTTTACAAGCGCGCCATCCTAAATTCATGCAGGGCCGCGCAGAAAGACCTATGAGGTCCAAGA